CAGCATACATTTTTAATTTCTAAGGTTTCATCATCTTTTGAATGTGCTTGTTTGACATTAGTGCGGACAGGCATGATGGCCCTGGGGCCCTTATCACAGGTGGCTTCAAGACCTAAAATGCTGGTGTTACCAGTTACGGTTGAATTTTTTTTTTTTTTTTTTTCTTAAGAATCTTGTTCCTATGGTCTGACTTCTTTTATGCTTGATTTTTCTATTATGGGACTTGTGCTCATTTTCTTGACTGTTTTGTAAAACAGGGACCATCTTTGGTTTAACTTCATACCCTGATATAAGGAGAAAGACGTTCATAAATTGTTTTGGATGTGGGTTTTGACTTCACAGCTGTAAAGTAAAAGAAACTATTCTGTTTTTACAGCCAATCCCATGTGTTTAGTAGCACAGGGAATGAAGAGAAGCAACTTTCAATGGCCGTAGTGAGGCCCCTAAGGCATCTGTTGATTTGGGATTTGCTCGGGGATATATTGAAGGTCTAAAGAGGTTTTTTTTCCCCCCATTTCCTCTGAGGACTAATCTTCATTTTTTTCTTTTCATGTCACTCCATTCAACTTCCTCTCTCCATCTTTTCCCTCTTCTGACTAAAAGGGGAATAGTAGAGGCAGGCCGGAGGAAGGGGATGAAGCAGCGAAGGAAAGAAAACCCACGTTTCATTGTATCTATGTTCTTAGCTCTTTATATATTATTGTCTTTCTTAGTCCACGTCATTTTCCTTGAAATAGCAGTCGATTTTACAGAAGAGAGAATTAGGATGTGGAGAGGTTGGTGACTGGGATTTAATTCAGGTGTCCCTGACTCCAAGACGTGCTGTTTATGCTGAGCCACCTGGAAGAGACGCTGGAAATCATCTAGTTCAGCTTTCCGTCTTATATCTAAACAAATACCTTATGTATATGTTACTGTTCATAAAAAATGTATTTTATATCAGAGACTATGCTAAACATTTTCCATGTATTACCTAATATGTATACTGTTTAAGGCATAAAGAGATAAAGTAATTTGCTTAAAGTCATGGATTGAGTAAAGGGGATAGTCTAGCATCACTTTGAGATTTTTTTTGACTTCAGAGTCCATTGTTAAACTACATCAACCCCACGTTTCCTACACAAAGAAACTAAAATCGACAAACTTGAAGTGACATTCCCAAGATCACCTGCTCTTTGGGGAACAGAACAAAGTCTAGACTCTAGATTTCCTGACTGTTGGTTCTTTGCTTATTCTCCTCTTCAACAGTGGGTGATTCTTGATCAGAAATGGAAGGAGATGAAAGCCTAACCAAAATGGAGCTGGAGCACTTCGTGCTACCTGATTCTGCCACACCTCTGAGCTCAGCCACACACAGTCTCATGAACTGAATGAGAACTAATAGAGGCAGGGAGAAATCAGAGCTAAAAGTGTCTTTATGAGTTACAGCTCTTAGAAATACACACACCCACATGTTATTTTCCTTTTTTTATATTCGTGAACCCTGAATATAACAAATCAGAAAAGGGGTTTCTGATAGTTCACCTTATAAATTGCTTCAAATTCTAGTAAGTTGAACTGAAGTATTTCAGTGCATGAGATTATTTTTAAATTTTCTATCTTATCAAGAGGAACATATCAAAATGTGGTGAAAATAGTGCTTTTCTCAGAAACACTGCAAGTATCTCTAAGCTTAAGCAAGTTTCCAGTGCAGTGTATATAATAAATCACCTGTCTGTTTCAAAATTGTCAGCAAGAGAATGGAAACTGTAGCACTTACCAAAAGATCAAGTACTGAAATAAAAATACTCTGCCTTTTAACAGTCACATGGTTTCCATAAATCAAAGCCATTTTCTGGAAGAAATTCATTGTTATCTTTACTGAGTGAGCAACAACGGCTGTTGACCTTTGATTAAGTGGAACCTAGGGTATGATTTGGGAATTTCTTCTTCAGTTCCTTTGGCGTTCCCTGCATGCCTACAGAGCACATGGAGGGATAGTGCAAAGCTTGATGAGAGGAAGAAAAATAGGAAGGCCCCTGGAGACCGTGTGCTTGCCTTCAGAGAGATTAATAGCAGTGTCAGATCAAGTAGAGAATTCTTAATCTCGCATTTCTTCTTTCTTCCCTCATGTTCTCTCTTACACCCTGGTGGTACTGTATTTTGATTGTGCAGTAGTCATGAGAAATAGGTACTTTTCCATGCTTGATAAAGAATGATGCAGTAACTTTGCCTGTCCCATATACCCAGAATGTGGCTTGTCCTGCCACATGGAACATTCCACTCCTACCCTTTCATGTTACACACGCTAAAGTAAGTTATGAGAAAGATAAATTAAAAGACATTAAAAAAAAACCCTCATTGTCAGTGCACAGAAGGGGAAACACTGCATGTCCACGAAAATCCCAGCTGAGGGCACACCCTATAGCCTTGCTGTGGTGAGGTCGTGGTTGTGTAGGTATCCATACTCCATGCACTTGGCGTGCCACACCGAATGCGGGTTTGTTCATATCACTTAACTCTTCCCGAATCGCAGTATCTTCACATGTAAGAGATCAGAACTGTTTGTTGGGCACAAGGGAGTCTCTTCTCTGCATGAATGTAACCTGGTTCTGCCAGCCTTGCTTGTTGTTCTTCATTCTCTCCCTCTGAAGAAGAATGAGGTGGATACCCTGATGATGTATGGAATGGCTATAAAATAATGGGATGGCATTCTTCAGTCATGTCGTAGAGCTCACATCCATGGAAACTGGGTCCCCTGCTGCCAGACTGTCAACCTCGACTTCTTAGAAATAGTTCTGAACTGTTTCAGAGTGTGGGTGCTCACTGTGTGAGAAGCCAGTCTTATTTGTCAGCCCTTGTTTCTTTTGCCCTTTCCCCACCCCAACCCCGTTATTACACAGTACTGTTCTAAAGGATTATCTGTTTTCTGAATTGAACTCGACCCTTCAAAGAGGAGGATGTGCTGTTGCCAGTGCCATTTTAAGGAGAATATTGCTGGCTCTGAAGCAGCGTAAAAAATATTTTGAGTGATCACTATAATAAGGGTCTCTTTGGATGGCTTTTAAGTGGGTATAGCACTTAGTGTATTTAAGTTCTGTAACTTTTTTTTATTTTGATATTTAAACTTTTATTACTGAAAAAGACATTTTTCAAATTTGCATATAGTTGACATACAATGTTACATTAGTTTCAGGTGTAGAAAGAACATATGAGTCAACCTCTCTGTATGTAATGCTGTGCTCACCACAGGTGTAGCCGCCATCTGTCAAAATACGATGAGTATACTTCCTATGTTGTGCCTTTTACTCCTGTGACTTATTCATGCCATAACTGTAACTTGATTTTAAAAAATAATTCCTGTGTAATCATTTCATTATACGATACGATAAGTGAGTGAAAGTTGCTAGAGAACTTCTGGGGCCGTGGGAAGAGGTGGACAGAGGCTGACAGGTAGATAGGTTAACTGTTTGTTGGGGGGCAGGGAATGACTGAGTGGTGTCTCAGATTACCCAGAAATCCATTCTGCTCCAAACAGAGGGTGGTTTAGATTAAGAGATGGCTTGTTTTATGTAAACATAAATCATACTTCTGTGAACAGGTAACTTATTGTTCAGTGAAGAGGGAGATCTTCCTCGTACCATTTTGTTTTAGTATACACATATAGAGATCACGCGATTTTGCTGTTATGTAAATTAACCTACCATTAAATATATATATATTTGTGTCTTCTAAAGCTATAGAATATTTACTCATTTGAAAAATGTTTATCTTACAAGTTTTATGGTTTAGATGTCTACCCTTACGTATGAATAAAGGGACTCTGTCATCTTTTTATATTTAAAAAATCATCCCTTGATAGAATACTATTTCAGGTTTAGAAAAGGATCCTCTTACAAATAAAAATGTGCTTTTCTAACTAAAATTCAAACTGATGAAAAATAGAGGGTATGGGCTAGTTTGCTATCGTCTGAGGCGTTGGTCCCAAATGACATGATTAAGTAAGTTACAATAATCTTTTAAGTCAGTAATACTTGATGGCTTATGTTTCCTTGTTCTTGTTTGGCTAAAGGAAAACAATGGTCTGAGTTTCCAGAGATAAAACCATAGGGAGGAGGCACCTGGGTGGCTCAGTCGTTAAGCGTCTGCCTTCGGCTCAGGATCCCAGGGTCCTGGGATTGAGCCCCGCATCGGGCTCCCTGCTCCGCGGGAAGCCTGCTTCTCCCTCTCCCACTCCCCCTGCTTGTGTTCCCTCTCTCGCTGTCTCTCTCTCCGTCAAATAAGTAAATAAAATCTTTAAAAATAAATAAATAAATAAACCATAGGGAGGTGTGGCCACAAAGATATAGTTATTCATGTCCCTACACACGTATTTCCTCTAAAATAAATTAAAGCTCTTCTATAAGTTTACACTGGAGAAGGAATAGGTAATAAATTTTTTTTTTTTTTGGAGTTGCTGTCTTAGAGATTGCAGGATAGAGGGCAAATTTTTTTTTGCCCCCTTTGCTCTCCCCTCTCAAATCTTTCCTTTAGAAAAAATTGCTTTTGTGTATAAAATGTAACTATTTATAAGTACCTGCTATGTTCAAGGTGACATCAGGCTGAAACAAACACTGAAGGTAACCACAGAGAGAAAAACACCCCAAAGTACTGAATCACATCTACCCACTTGGTGGTATTATTACACAGTGTGATTTCACATACAGAAGCTTCAGTTAATATTTTTAGAATGGATCAGAGTCACCTCCTTTTGCCTTCTGTCATCAGCCACCAGTCGTTAGAATTCCTGTAGTCCTTTGGAGCGGGCTGGCAGCCCTTGGAGTAGGGAGAGGTGACTAAATCGTATGGTGAAATACATGGTGATATTCCTACTGGTAAGAATCTTAATTCTTCACGTCTATTTGCTGTGTTTGCTCTGGCCTTCGTAATAGCATATTCATGTGCTTAATTTCCCTAGTGCCATCACACATGGGAAGGAAAAAGACGTGTTTCTTTTAACAGCTTTATTTTCTTTCTCTTAGGGTGTGTTGGAGAGCTTCCTGGGTACAGCTGTCTCTGGAGCTGTCTTCTGCCTGTTTGCTGGTCAGCCCCTCACCATCTTGAGCAGCACAGGACCTGTTCTAGTTTTTGAGAGGCTTCTATTTAATTTCAGCAAGTATGTATACACATATCTAATTATAAATTAGGATTGTTTAATTGTAGAACATTCATAGTCTAGATTGAGCGTAGAATAATAATTAGGTCTATCAGAACATGAGAATTTTAAGATGTGGAGGTTGGAAGGCCCTTGGAGACTAGATATTCCAACACACATTTTATGTTTGGTCCAGCGGAGGCCCAGATGATGTACTATCCGCTTGCCCTCATCGTCATTCTCTGCCCTTATAGCCTCGCTCCGTGCTCCAGGGGCTGACCCCTGTGTGGATTGCAACACTAAGGCTCCTTTGCCCGCTGGCTTCTTCTTGGGTTTGGTGGTGCTTCAGTAGGACAGGAAGGGCGAGAAGTCAGGATGGGTGTCTACCTCCCTGCCCCTCACTGTCCCTGCTTTAACACTGCAGTCTGGCAGGGGCTTGTCCCTTGCGTATAGCCTCTGTAAGGTGCCCCCTCTGTCCTGGTTCTAGCCCTCTCCAGGCTCTGGTGACTCTAGTCCTTCCTTGGCCTTTTCAAGCTAGGAGGTAAAAATGGCTCCCTGATGTCGCTAGTCCCCAAGTACCTTGCCATTCTCGGTTACTGACACCTCTGTAAATAGCCCATTTATTGTTTTCCTCACAGTCCTGTTCGAGAATGCCTTCTATTTCCTGCCATGATCCTGACTGATACACTAGAGAAAGAAAATGTCTTGTTCAAGGTCACATGACTCTTTAAAGAAAGAGCCTAGCTGCTCCAATGATCCGCTGCTCCTAACCCTGATCTCAGTGTTCTTAACTAAAGATATATTTTAAGAGTCAGCTGAGTAATAACATTTGTTGAGCACCGATCATGTACCAAGGTACCAAGTATTATCCTAAGTGCGCTACATGTACTCCCTCATTTGAGTCCTGTAGCAATACTGAGGGAGGGGCCACACCTTGTTTTATAGATTAGAAAACAGGCAGGAAGAGAGTAAGTGCATGGCTGAAGGCTCCATCATCAGTTGTTGGTAGGGCTGGGATTTGAATTTCTGCTTCACTTTCTGGCTCAGGGGCCTATGTCTCTTATGGAGTCACTAGACACTCCTAATGGACATAACATTGTGATATCATATTTTCTTTTAGAAATTGATGGATCATTTTAAGAAGGAGAAAATCAAGTTAAGTGAATTATCCGAGTGGCCACATTAGCACACAAATAGATTCAAAATCAAATTGGGTATTCTGGCCTCTTTCTAATGAACTTGATACCTCTCTGAGAGAATTGCCTTTCCCATCCTTAGGTAGATTGCAGAATTTCATATGAGTTGCTGGCATTCCTTGTTGGAATTTCTGTACTCTTACATTGTTACACATTTTTATGATTTTATTATTGGAAATTTTATTACGTACATGCTACCTCCTAGACTTAAGTACTGGTACAGTAGCCTTTGAAACTCTGCAAGCCATCAAAAACGATCCCAAGGTAGAGGAGGGAATGAGGATTTAAAACTAGTGTTTTGAGAACTGGGTTGAGAACATCAGCAAGGGTCTTATGAAAATTTAAAGTTCTAAATTTTAAATAGTGTGAATTTTGTGTAGCTCACCACTACAAATCCCTCCTCCATCATAATTCTCAGAAGGACATTGGGAAGAATCCTGTTTGTGTCAGTTTATAGAACGTCAGACCATTTTTATATGTTTAAGAAAACATTGTGTGAGACAAGAAAGCCTTTGTGGAAAGATGAAACAAGCATGTACTATAAACAGGAACAAACATGTGCAACCTTTGCAGAAAGATTTATTGGATGCAATGTGATCAGAGCCTTAATATACAGAAAATGTTTGCATCCCAGTTTACTTTAGATAATTGTAGGATAGAGATTATTTCCTTTCACTAAGCACGTTCCTTTCTCACTTTCCCTTCTGTTTCATCATAATTGGTAATGTAAACATAGTTCCAAGTGGTTTATTTGAAAACAGTTGTAAAGCAACAAGAAACATTTGAGAAGCTGTGCTTTAAATTCATCACTGAGTAGTATGTGGTACTTGTGTGGCAAACCTTATTATTTTGTTCACCATGCTGTATCATTTGCTTAAATATTATAACAACAGTGCTAATGTTTTGTCTAGATACAGATTATTTGTGTAGATCACTATTTCTCAAAGTGTATTTCCTCAATTTCTAGTCCCATTTTAGGTGTTCCAGGGACAAAAAGTTTCTGTGATCCCAATAAATCTGGAAAATGCTGTATATTTTATCTCCCTCTTAGTAATTCACTTTACACTTTAGCTTACTAAGAGATCTGAGAAGTCCTTTGGTAAAGAAACTGCTTTAGTCTGTCTTGCCCAGATTTTTTCCAACATATTTTACCATTTTTGAGAAGTAGGTAGTTTGAGTGGAGTCGAACGTAAATTCCACATAATCCACTGGTTTCCTTCTGACATGGGATACAGGTTTTAATGTTTGCCCTGTAAACTGGAGAATCACAAAGGAATATGAAAGATGTGCTGTCACCTTTTTAAAATTAATAACAGAACGAAGGCAAGAGCTTACAAACTTTGCAAATGACAGTTGTAGTTTTGTTTTCCTAATCCTGCAGGCTCTTTTGCACTGTTTTTATACCTTATAAACCTTATAATAATGTGAGGAATCTGAAAGAAGTTTTACCACTGTGTTCTAAGCTATGTAGAAGCCCCATAATTAAAGTTGGAGTTTAACCTGTATAATTGTCATTTGGTCATTCAATAATTTTTTCCTTCTATTCTTTGAACATTTTACTTAGAGGTCTTCAAATGATTATTTTCTTCTGTTATATTACTGGATTTATTCACGTAGTTTAGGGAGTTTTATATTTGTCAGTGACTGAACATTAACTTCTGTAGCATGCTTCAGATTAGTTCTTCAGTTTGTACCTTGGTCTTATGCTCCTCAGAAACTATAACTCAAAATATCTAGGAACACTGTGGTATCAAGGATGTAAGCCCATTTTCTCATTTGAATTCACAATAGTTTCTTTTGTCTCTACTATCATTTCCTGTTACTTTTTATAACCTAATTGCTATTTAAACTTGGCACTAAAGGGACTGATAAACTTATTGGATGTAATATTGCCATTTTATTGTAGTCATTACTGTTGATCAACTTGTTTTAAAAAGTTTCTCATCTCCTATTCCTCTTTCTTCTTGCTGCTGTAAACATAGCACTTTTATAATGAAGTGCCATGGGTTTTTGTGATTTTTTTTGGGTTATTCTTATAAAGCTACTCTGGGAGTATTTTAGTATTTTAGAGCAGCTATTTTGGTATATTGTTTAGATCCTAAGATTTAAGTGTATACGTGCATTTTTTTTTCCTTTGTACTCAGACTGAGTGTTCCTAACCATTAGCTAGTTATTGGATTTGTTTCTCATCCTGTCCTGTAAACATCAGTTCTCTAAACAACCATTAGCATTCTTAGAACAAATCAAGATTGCCCTGTCATCTTGTTAGGGAAGCAAAACTAGGTAATTGTTTAAAATTTTTATTTTAAGGAAAAAGTTTGTTGGCTCAGAAGTAATAAAACTGTTTCTTAACTCTGAGACTTGATTCATTGTGTGATAATGTAAATTATCTCAAATTCCTAGAATTTAGCTTTTTCTGTAGTCTACTTATCTCACAAAGACATGCATAGGATTAAGCAGTGGGGTTCCAGATGTAAAGGGAACTATAAGGGAGTGCAAAAGAGTGCAAAAATCTTCAGAAAGATTCCAGGAAATCCATAGGAGATAACTCTCTACCCAAGTGTTAATAATCTCCTGCTTTGGTCATATTTCCAGTTTATGTGATTTGATGAAAAGAGGGAAACAAAAGACAGTGATTTTAAGGCCCACCCTAAATACACATCAGATAGGGGAATGATGGTATGATTTTTTTAAAGGAGCAGCCCAAGAATGCAGAGATTTGGTTTCTGGTTCAGCTCTGCCATTAAAACCTTGGCATTGGATAAATGACTTAACTTTCATTGTTGGCCTTGGTGTCCTCATCTATAAAATGAGACATATTTGACTAATTGATATCTGTATCAAGATTCTCCAGAGAAACAGTACCAGTATGATAAAGAGATTTATTATAAGGTGTTGGCTCACACAATTATAGAGACTAACAGGTCTGAAATCTGTAGGGTGGGCCAGCCTGGAGACCCAGGAGAGCTGATGTTCCAGTTCAAGTTCAAAGGGTGCCTGCTATAGAACCAGAAAGAGACATGTTCCAGATAAAGGCCAAAGGCAATCGGCTGGAGAAAATTTCTTGCTTAGGGTTGGCAGATTTTTTGCTGTATTTGGTTGAAGAACTTGATTGGATGAGTTTCACCCACATTATGGAAAGCTATCTGCTTTACTCAAAGTGTACCAATTTAAATGTTAATGTCATCAAAACCACCCTTACAGAGACACCAAGAATAATGTTTGACCAAATATCTGGGTACCATGTGATCTAGCCAAGTTGACACGTAAAATTAACCATTGCAGTCTCTAAGGAACTTTTAATTCTAATATTCTGTAAAATTTTCACTCAGGATCTCCTGGCTCCCTGTGATAGCTTATAGGTCATGTCAGTAACTATTTCAAGTCCTAAGCCATAGGCTTGCCTTAATTCATCTAGCAAGTTTTCATTGGAAACCTATAGGCCAAGCATTATATTAGGTTAGAGAATTTAAATTTTATTCTAAGAGCAGTGTGAAGCCATCAAAAGGTTTTAAATGGGGGTGGGGGGATCTGATTTACATTTAAAAAGATCATTTTGGCTGTGATGTGGAAAATGGCTTTGAGCTGGGCAAACATGGATATCAGTAAGGACTTTAATCAAGCAAAGATTTCTTGGTGGCCCAGATTGGGTTGGTGGTGGTGAAGGTGTTGATACCATGCCTTTAGGAAAGTATTCAATATATCACCATCAGAAACTCATTGTTTAAAAGCAAGACTGTAGAACTTCAAGCATGCATGCTCCTTGATTATTTCTTTTTCTTGTAGAAGAAATATGACTACTACTCTTTGCTTTTTCATCATAAATGATGAGAATACAATAAAATAATCTTCACATAATTTTAAAAGAATCAATTTGAAATGATAAATGTCAACACTTGACCCATCTTTTCCTAAATGTGAACTAATTTACTTAAAAGAAATGGAAAGGCCTTCAAAAAACAATGGCATCCTCTGATGCAGGCAGCCTATTCTAAGACTGCTGTGGGATAGGAACAGACGAAAAACAAGGTGGTCACAAGATGCTTTACACACAACTTTAGCAGGAAGATATCGTGTCTGTGGGCAAGCTTCGTGAGAAGTGGTTGCATCTGGCTATAACACAGCAAGTGTATGCTACAGCGTACTTATCCTTAAATACCTTGAGATTTCTCTGCAACTCCTTTTGGCCTCCCCCACCCAGAATTAGTTATTCCTCTGGGACACTCTGTGGGAACCTTTAGATATCGTGTAGTATTTTATGGTGTGATTATGTCTATCAGTTTGTCTCCCTCAGTAGATTGCAATGATGTACGGACAGAGAACATATTTAGCTTAGGATCTTCATTAACCAGTAAAGCTCACAAACATTTATTGAGTGCATACTGGCTACCAACGTGACACTTTCAAATTGTTTCTTTTATAAATTCCATAAAGGCAGGGACCAGATTTTTTGAAGGAGAAAATTGAGTGATTTACATACAAATGGTATGACTGTTTTTTATGCCATTCCTAAACTTCTGGGATTACTTCTTTACGGTAGCTTAATAATATTACTAGACCACATTCTTACCCTTAATATTTTCAGGATGAAATCAAGACTGAGCTTTATATCTAGTGTCTAAAAGTGATCTTGTATTTTTAGCAATCATTCTGCAGTCATTGGGTAGTTTTATATTATTCCTTTGTGTTCCATGGAGGAGGAGTCTAAATACCTTTCTTTCTTCTTTCCAGGGACCATAATTTTGACTACCTGGAGTTTCGCCTTTGGATTGGCCTGTGGTCAGCCTTCTTGTGTCTCATTTTGGTAGCCACAGATGCCAGCTTCTTGGTTCAGTACTTCACTCGCTTCACCGAAGAGGGCTTCTCTTCTCTGATTAGCTTCATCTTTATCTACGATGCTTTCAAGAAGATGATCAAGCTAGCTGACTACTACCCCATCAACTCCAACTTCAAAGTGGGCTACAGTACTCAGTTTTCCTGTGCCTGTATGCCTCCTGACCCAGGTGAGGACATCATGCTTAGTGTTTGTGCTTCCCCTGTGCTTGGAGGAAGGTGTAGGCTCCATGCATGCAGGCTTTCAACATGGTATTTTCTCTGAGAAACCATCCTGCTGAGTTTGAAGTCTCATTACCCCGAGGTATCTTAGCCACGTGATTCAATCAGGAGGTGAAACCAGGAGCTCTGGAATGTGAATGTATTTAGCTCAATACTTTGAAAATAACTCAAACTGCAGTATTTCCAAGGAGATTTAGTGTACATTAGTCTTGATCTTATCCGATAGTTGAGGGAACCAGGTACAAATATTAACAGATATAAGGACCAGACCAACCCAGTCCTCTGAACTTCTATCCCATCTCTTGCCATTTCCTTATTATTATAGGAATCTCTTCCTAAAGTAAACTCTAAATAGATTATTTCAAGCTTATAGAAGAAACAAGATACTTATTCACTTTATATAATTTGAAGTGTGAAATTGAAAAAAAATCTCAGACTGGAGTTACCTAGTGGTAAAGTAGAGCCTTATAGTTCATCTGTCCTAGACAATGTGAATAAGAAAGGAAAAGAAGAAATGAACGGAAGAAAAGGAGTGTTACGCTCTCAGGGAAGATTTATATTCTAGAGTTAGGAAAGACATAAAAGTGAAAAGTAAGTTCTTGGTAAGGAATTTGATTCTGCACATTTTAGCACTTTAATATCTATCTTGCCAAACCTGGTCAGCATCAGGATTTTTTCCCAAAAAGGTGCTCAATTTGGTTTCTGGAATTTTTTTTTTTTTGGAGTAATTCATCATCATTTTATAATATGGAAGGCATTTGGGGGAAAAGATTCACTTTGGGGAAAGTTGTTTTATATTTGCTCTGGGAGACTGAGGGGTAGACATTTGTGTCAGACAATTACATGGTAATAGTGTTAGTTATCCCAGGTGATGCAATTAGCTACAGGTCATTGTCCCTTAAAATAAAAATTGATACACACTCCAGGCTTTTGACTAAGGTCTTATAGCACCAGGAGTACAACAGTGTACTGAGGGCTGTGTAAACCTGAGCATAGATGTAGGGCACATTCATGCACTATACACTTTTACTTATAGATTCTGAGGAAAAACCTCTTAATGTTTACAGTAAAACAAACGTGGATGTATTACAGACTAGAATGCAAACAAAAATTTAAAAAATAAAGAAGATACTACAAAGAATTTTAATGCTTGTGACCAGGCTGTGTCAGATTACTCTCAGAAATTTTGGTATTGTATCTGCATTCTTCTCTGCCCCTTGGGTGGAGAAGTCTTCGAACACCTGTAGCATCTTGAGTGGTGAGAGACAAGAGAACAGTATCTCCCTAAAATTGGGTCACTCAGCAACACTGATGGAAAGATAGGGCATTGTTGGGCTTTGCACTCATGGATTCTTTGGTCTTATTTAAGGACAGTCGACACACATTAAAATAAAGCGCATGTTTAAAAGCAAAGCGGAGACAAGTACAAAGGGGGAATTTAAAGATTCGGGCAACTTGAATGATATATAGACACAAAAGCTTATTGTCAAAATGTTATAGTGATTACAAATATTTCATAACTTAAAAACTGCTTGGAAAAGAGTAAGCACTCAGTGCATGATAGATACTACCATTAGGATTAATGAAATATGCTTGAGACATGGATGTTACCATTACACAACCATGTAGAACTTGTCCAAAAAGAAAGTGTGGGGGGGTGGTTTACCCTCCCATTTTGGACTTTCAGGGGAAGTCCAGACTATGCATGTTCAAAATATTGACTCACAGACATATTGAATTGGAGGATTTTGAACTTTCGTCTTGATTATTTCTATCTTTATATATTTATCTATATGTAAATATTTATTTATGAAGAAGTCTGTAATCTGACTTCATAGACAAGTCTGAGGAGTCATACAGCAATTTTTTCCTAAAGGAGAAAAGATACTTTCTCAGTTGTTTTGAGGTGTGAGATATTCGTAAAGCCAGATAAGGGCTTTGTCAGCACACCTGTCACAAAGAAAATCTACGTACCTGAGGCTAATGGAAACTGAAACTCGTTTTAATTGGATGCTGGTAGAGAGGGTAATAAGAAGCCAAGGAAGACATATTTGAATGTGTTTTAACTGTGAAAAATATATAAAAATTTTACATGTAATTTTCCTTCCAAGAAGGATCATTGTTTTCTTGAAAAACTCATTTTGAGGCTTAACATGTGCATAGTGAGTACTAGCTGAAGTGGAGATAGCTTTTCCTTTGAACTTTTTTCTTTAGCTTGGATAGAAAGTCTGTCCTAAATAGTTAGGAATTTTCTTGGAAGGACTCTGACAATTCCTACTACCTCCAAGTGGTACCAGTAAAGCAGTGTAGCAGGGCTTTGAAATCAGAAAATCTTGTATTTGAGTCCCAGCTTGGCTAATCATACCCTGTGTGTGACTTTGGGCAAGTTCCTTTCCCCAAGGAAGCTTTGCCTCACCTTCCTCATCTGTAAAAAGGAGTTAGTAACAGTACCTACCTTATAGAATTGTTATATCTTACAGAAAAAATGATGTATTTCAAAGTACTCAAGACAGTTTCTGATATGTAATAAGCAATTAAGTGTTAACTGTCATTGTTAACACTGCTGGTATTATTTATTAAAACTTAAGGTTAGTAAGTATGAATGATAGAACCAACAAACCAGTCTTCATCATCCTCCTTCCTAAGCAAATATTGTTGGATAGTTGGCTTATTCTGCAACAAGACCATTGGCTGCACCCCATATTTTTAGAGTTGTCCCGATGAAAGGCACTCCTGAAGGATATGCACATGAATGTGAGGGATTATTTTAACCTATGGAAATAAAATCTGTTTCTGGTTTGGAAAAAGGCAAACAGATATTTCCATTTTCATGACAGTCTCATACTTTATAAAACCCTTTAAGACTAGTGATTGTATGTTTCCCTCATAACCTTAATACTTTTTGATAGAAAACCTATATACCACCATAAATTTAGTACTTCGTGATAACAAACGTGAAAACTGATAGAGAATAATACGGTTGCATGTACAGCTAGAGCAAGTGTTCCTAAAACAACAAAAGCCTGGCCTTTCATCGCACCATGCACTCCTAGTAAAAGAATTCAGTCAATGAGTCAATAATATTTAAACTGGCGGATGACTTGTTTTTCAACACTGGGACAGTATGTAACAGTGAACCAGCAACTACACAGATGGAGTCATGATCCTGCAAACTGAGAAATCATTTTACAGGAAGGGAACTAGGGGTCACTTAATCACTAAGAAAACTCTACTCATGGCCACAATAATACTGTGAATTTTTTCTGCTTTGTGAAGACAACTCTTCCTCCTCTTTTCCTTCCTTATCTTTCTTGTTCTCACTTGCTTCCATAAATCTTCATCACTTCCTGAGTTTCAGTTTCTTCATGCATCTTTTTCTCCCTTCATTTTGCCCCATCTGTTGCTCGGGGGCCAAAGTCACGTACCTTCTTAGGTTCTCGTTTACTGAAGAACTCCGAAAGTTCAGTTGCAAGTGTTAAAAGGAAAATTAGCCATGAGATTTGACATATCAGTCAGGGTGGAGACATGGTTTTTGAGCTAAAATTTCCTTTTCTTAGAATGGCTATTAATTGATGTAATAGAGGTCATATTTCCCCACTGTGCCTTGAAGATTACATAGCAGAGGCGTATAAGGAAGATGATTCAGTTCAGAAGCCAACAGTAAAAACTAAAAAATATCCAAATGAAGGGCAATTCACAATATTACTATTCATCGCCAACATCCCAATGTTAGTGTGATAAAGTGTAAACAGTATATGCTTTGGAGTAAAGGAAAGTGAGCGTGAATTCAGCTCTAACTAGCAGTGTGACCCTGGACTAGGCTAATCACACCTAATTTCTTTGTTTTATAACCTGTGGGCTGGGTTAGTAATTGTACCTACTCTTAGAAGTTACTATATGGATTGAATGAAAAAGTATATGTAACGTTGTTTGGCACCTAATAGATACCAAGTAAAAATTTGTTCTTTTTCTCATTTCTCATTGTTTGACAAACGAGGCCCTAGCCAGTTTTATCATTTAGTTGTATTATTTTAAAGGGGTTCAAAATTTAATTTTCCCTGCAATTTTCCTAGAGGAAGAGACTAACCAGGTTTTCCTAAGCCAGCCCCCCTCAGATTAACAACTAATGTGCTGTTGTAGATAAATCTGAAACATTGGAGCTATATTTAAAGAAAAAAATGTTAAGTTCAGTACATCGTAGTTAGATCACTTAATGTTATTCCACTGAATCTCAAGTCTACAAGAGTGTTGCACACTATATATAATCATGTAGAAGAAGGCTCTAAAGTCCTAGAGGTGAAATGTTCAGTTCCTTTAAGGGGAATTGGTCTAATTCACTCAAAAACATAAATGATAGAATTTTGTAAATAGGGAATAAGACATGAGCTCTCCTCTTTCCTTTTTCCTCTCTTCTTCTCCTCCACCTGCCCTTTTGTCCTTCCCCTTCTGCTATCCACAAAAATGCATAAAGAACCTATTCCATCCCTTTTTAAGAATTGTGCTTGGGATGAAGTACGCTATACATACACACACACATGCACTCACAACACACATACATGCCCATCTATACATTACACCATACACACATACCACACACACCTGTACAGTATGCCAGGGGCAGCTGTACACTGTACTACTGTGCACACCCAGTATATCACACATACCTGTACACCACAC